TGAACGCAGGAAGGGATTTTAAAACAAAGGCAAGAATTTCAAAATAAAAATGCAAACTAGGAGCCAAAGTAGGTTATAACATAGATAACACAGTGTGGAGCTGGAGGAACACAGAAGACGAGGCAGCATCAAAGGAGCAGGAAAGCCTTCTTTCTGAAGAAGGGTCCCGACCTGAAACATCAGCTTTCCTGCTCCTCTGATGCTGCCTGGCCTGCTGTGTTCCTCCAGCTCCACACTGTTATCTCAGACTCTAGCATCGGCAGTTCTTACTATCTCTGACAAAGTAGATTAAGTGTGCACAGGAAGAATGGGTGAACAGGATTTCAGGATGCTGGCAGCAATATTTTGGATGAGCTCAAATATAATAGTTCAAGCATTTAGCAACAACTCTCCTGACCTCTAGTCTTAAGCATCCTCTTTCCTTCATCCAATTTTATCCTACAATTGAGGGTTTTTCTTTTCCAAATATATTCCTTCTTAAACATATTGACTTTCACTGGTGTGTGGGAACCAGCATATCTACCTAACATTTCACACTTAAGAAACCAAAAACCAATATCACTGACAGTAGTGGAAGCTAAATGGGTTTAAATCCCACCACAGCAGCTGTTGGAATTTAGGGGGCAGGTAGTGACCCTTCTGCAAAACCAGCTCTGTGTTCAAGTCCCACTCTGGGACTTAAGATTCTTGGAAACTGCATACGTAGAAGGTTACCAATCTTCTCAGTAAAGGTAAAGTCCCAGAGACTGTCCCCCACACTGGAATTTTTTTGGAGACTTGGTTACAGAGGAGGTGGTTATTGAGCCCTCTGCATCCATGCTCTCACCGGAACAACTCATGTAGTCCCACTCATCCACCTTTACCTGGTGGCCCTGAAAATTTCTGTTTGGATATTAATCGAATGCCTTTCTGAAAGGCTCCTCCACATTCTCCAGCAGTACACTCCAATACCCAAGCATTCAAAATAAAATTCCGCATATCACAGCTGTTTTCTTTATCAGTGACCTCCAAATTGGTGACCTCTGCTTATCGATTCTTCTGTCAATGTAAAAAGGTTTTGCCTATCTGCTCTGTCTGGACCAAAATTTTGAATACTGAATCTTTCAACCTAATTTTACTAAACAAATTTCTGACCTTTCCATTCAAAAAAATACCTGAATGCAAGAGGGGTTAGGGCAATCCTCCTCAGGGTCATAAGAAATAGGAAAATGATCATTCAGCCCCTGAGCCTGCTCCACCAATCAATAAGATCACAGCTGATCTGACTGCAGCAACCTCATTGTCACTTTGAGATTAACCCAGAATAGTAATGAAACCTGAAACATTAATTACTTTTGTGCCCTATTGCTGTATCAGGTAAAGCAGTTAGGATAATACATTTAACCACTGATTACCTGGCTTGTCACTGCTCGTTTTTAATGAGCAGAGATTTGCAAAATATTTGTGGTGAAAATAGCATCATTTTCGCAACAGCACTTCTTGAAATCCCCATTTTACTCCATTCTTCCTCTTGCCTTCCCTCTTCCATACAGTCAGAGAATCAGTCATACAGCATAGAATTTGGCACTTCAGCCCACCATGTCTATGCCAAAAAAACAAACATCAAACTACCCCTAATCCCATTTATGTGTATTTCGACCACAGCCTACATGCCCACTCCCGGGCATTTTAAGTACTCATCTAGATGCTTTCTGAATGTGGCATGAGCGTCTAAAATGGAGGTGCAACTTTGTCCTCAAAGAGAAAACAAAACCTCTGGAAATTAAATGTGTATGTAGCCTAAATGCACCTGTTGATTTTGGTATTTCTCTATCTTAATAAACTTAGGTTGTCTTCAAATTAAAGCAGGCCTTGTCAATTTTTACTGGCATCATATGGAGAAGCCTTCAGGCATATTTATGATGCATGTAGATTTTTTTTTGAGGGAAGGGAGCAGTTAATCTGAAAACAGTCATAAATGGGCTTAACGCAGAATTTAAAATAGGCAGTCAGGCTTCTGGAGCTCCTAATTACATTGGATTGAAAATCAAGCAGAATGGATCAAGTGTCATTTTGCACAAGCAATTTTCTGTAAAATGTTAGCTTCATTGCTCATAGTCAAAGCAGGGCTGCACAAAAAGATTATAACAGCTTCCAAAATAAAATGGAAGCAATGCAAAGTTGATCCCCTATAATGTGCCTACCAACATAACAGGTTCACAGAGGATGCCATATTCCTAGGCCTGCACTCATCCCTAAAACATCTGGATAACAAAGACCTACATCAGACTCCTGTTTGTTGACTACAGCTCTGCCTTCAATACCATTCTCTCTCCAGACTGATCTCAAAACTGTCACCTTGGTCTCAGCTCTGCCCTCCGCAAATGAATCCTCAGCTTTCTCACCCATAGGCCGTAATCAGTGAGGATAAGTAATTGCACCACCTCCACAATAACACTCAACTCTGGAGACCCCCAAAGGATGCATCCTCAGTCCCCTACTGTACTCCCTGTACACCTACGACTGTGTCGTCAAATTCTGAATGAACGCCAACTACAAGTTCACTGACAACACCACCGTAGTGGGATGGATATCTAACAACGACGAGTCAAAATACAGAAGGGAGATAAGACAGCTTGGTGATGTGGTGCAATGAAAACAATCCGTCTCTCAATAACAACAAAACTAAAGAACTGATCACCGAATTCAGAAAGAAAAGGAGAACACGCCCCTATCTACATCAACGGGACTGACACAGAGAGTGAAGAACATCAAGTTCCTCAGTGTAATAATAACTGACAACCTGTCCTGGACTTCCCACGTAAATGCAACAGTCAAGAAGGCACAACACCACCTCTGCTTCCTCAGGCGGCTCAGGAAATTTGGCACATCCATCAGGTTCCTCACCAACTTCTACAGATGCACCACTGAAAGCATACTGTCTAGGTGTATAACAGCCTGGTATAGCAACTGCTCTGCCCAGGACGCAAGAAACTACAGAAGGTTGTATGCACAGCCCAGACCATCACAGAAGCCAACTTTCCATCCATGGACTATTTACACAGCTCGCTGCCGTGGAAAGGCGGCCAACATTATCAAAGACCCATCACACCCTGGTAGCGACCTCCTACAATCTCTTCCGTCAGGCAGAAGATACAGAAGCTTGAACACTCGCACCAGCAGGTTCAGGAACAGCTTCTTTCCGGCTGTTATCAGACTGTTGAATGGACTCTAGCCTCAAATAACGTAACCTGCAACATAACCTGTATGGCTCTAAGTCTTTTTGAGCTGTACATCCTTCCATTGCTGTGATCTGCCTGTACCATTCGTAAACAAAATTTTTCACTGTATTTCGGTACACGACAATAAATCAATCAACAGGATAGCTGAATTGGCTGAGGACTCAAACAAGGTCAGATGCCAATTTGAAGTATTAGAGTAGACTATGGCTATGAAAAATCCCAAGGTGGAAGATATTAATTGGGAAACAGAACATTGCGAGAAACAAAAAAAAAACTGAGCATTGTATTTGAATTTCCGTTATTGGGAGGTGCCAGCAATATAAAACTTGATTTCAATGATGCTTGTTATGCAAATCTTGATGACGGGTTTTCAATAACAGCAGGGTTTATAATTTGACTGGTGGGAAAGGGAGGTAAGTGTTGCCCTTTAGCTCGAGAAGCTAAAAAGACCAGAAGAGTAATAACAGTATAGTCAGGGATACAGACTTTCACTCTTGATGAGGTGACAGATGTGACACTTAATCAATTCTATAAAGGGATTCAGCAGTAATACACAAGGAGTGCTTTATCAACAACATATCACCACGGGATAAGATATACTCAACAAAATATGTGAATGAAATCAAGACTGAGGATCAATACTGAGAGATAGTAGGAACTGCAGATGTTGGAGCCCGAGATAACAAGTTGTAGAGCTGGACCCTTCTTCAAAAGGGTCCAGCTCTACACCTTGTTATCTGAGGATCAATACTGCAGTTTTAAAACAGATGCTTGAGAATGGAGAGATCTCCAGATTGAAAAGGCTGGATAGCAATAGTCAACTATCTTACATAACATGCTACTTTCTTTGTTAGATTTACAAACTGATAGACATACCAGAAAAAGAACGTTTAGAACTTTATATTCCCATTTTCTATGCATGGTAATCTGTCATTCTGAACATGTTGTTTAATGTAAATGAAAACAAAATGGAGAATCTTATCATCTAATACGGTCTGAAAGAATGTACGAAACCTATGGAATGAGGAAACAAGTGATGGATATATAAATATTTAACTGGGTGTGAATTTGGTTGCATAAATATGAAGAGGTAGTGGTCAGTGCTATGGAGTGTGGCTACCCAAAATAAAGCTCTCACATAAAAGTGCGAGTGTGAATTCTGTTTAAGTACAGATATGTTTTGGAACAAAACATGCATAGATTGAATCGCCTCCTTCTGCACAGCAACAACTTATTCTTTCAGGAGCAAGATTTCACTGAATCAGCATCTAATCGATCAATAAAGCACAGGCAGACAAAAGATATTATAGACGTGCAGAGTACCAGGTCTTCTTTCGTGCACTAAAGTAGTACGTTTAACATAACCTCAAGCCTTTCTTAACACGTTGTTATTGCCTTCCAATATATATCAGACACTAGACAAAAAGCCATTAGGTGGGCTCAACCCTATTAATGAATCTTGAAGTTCATATTTTGCATATTTTAAGACAACAGTGAGCTAAAAAAGATACACCAAAAAAAGGTTGTGAAATCATTCAAAAAGCAGTCAGCCAAAATGGGGTAGAAAGGAAGACAAGCAAATGGTCACTGAACAAAAAACTGAACTCATTTGATTAAACGAATAGGAATAAAACAAAGTTAAATCTGAGTCTTAACTGGTCACAATGGGTAACTGGTCAGCCCCAATGCTTCTCTAAATATAGTAGTAGAGGAAAGAAGTTAGACCTGGCGCGGTGCAGATGTATAATTCTGATCCTAAAATGAGAGAAAACATCTTACCTCCAGCATGCTTCTCCATTCCATTTGATACACAATCGCCCATCCTCAATTGCAAAAGGTATTACAACTTGAATCAACTTAGACCACGTAAATGTTGAGATTGGTTTTAGATCAGTAGGGCAAACAGTGCCTTCCAAGGAGGAGTCAAACACTTCTCAAATCTCTACACTAGTTTTTACCGGTTTATATCCTTCAATGGTGACTTTCGTCAGCTGTTACCGAAAAATTCCACGTTAATAATTAAACTGCAGTGTACTAAAATTCCTTATGCTGTAGCACTGAAAACAATTCAGCGACTCATTACAACTCCTGTCCTTGAGATTTTGGTGCAAATCTGTAAAATTTACACAGCAATTTGTTAAAGAGAGAAGGCAAGCATTTTTCAAAAAAGCAATGGCACTCCCCAAATGGCATACTGTTTATCCAGAAAGCAGCTCAGTAGTGGAAACCAGGAAGGGGTCAGATTCAAAGCCCCTCCTGTTTGAAATATTATTACCTGATCTCTGGTATATCCAGCATTATCTGGTATTATTTTTGAGCTAGTTGGTCTCTGACTGGCTGATGGGAGTGAGAAGGTATATAAGTCACACAGAGTCTTCATACGAGTGGAAAACAAAGTAAGATCAAGCATATTATGGACGAAGCTGCTGGAAAACTGTGCACTATTGTACACTGTGGATTAATTACTTGACAAACATAACACATTACTTTTGACAAACAGCACTTTGTGATTGAAATTCTGCCATAATTTAATTATTTATTATATTTCTTTATAATATATCCTATTGTTGTAGCTCCATAACATTTGTTTGAATCTCACTCTGCTACTGCACTGAAACAGGAGTCCCAATAGACACAATTCCACCCTGAATCCTTCGGATCCCCACAGGCCCAACTCCCATAACCAAATCCACCCGATAATCCTCAATTCTGCCCGAGCCCAAGCACCTATCCACTTACCTAGGACTCTACTTTTTCAACCACTTGGCAGCCTAACCTGGCTTCTCCCACTCGCCACCTTCCCCCCACCTCACTCGTGTGTTCTCCCATCAAGTATCTGTGGTTTCAGCACATTTAAATCCTGAATTGTGCATGAACTATTGTGAGAAAGGGGCTGGTTTCAATATCAAAAATAACATTTCTGATCCTGACTGGAAGATCTGAGCCATTAACTCTGTTCCTCTTTCCATATTTATTACATAAAGCATTTTGTATATATTTGACTTCTCCTTCAATCTGGCACTAGTACTACCATAGCCTCTGTGAATCTATCTTAGTCTCCATCTCTTCTACATGTTACTACTCGATGCCATCATTCGAAGGACTGGGCATGAAACAAATTCATCCAACTCAAATGGGAAGACAAAAGCTATCACAAATGTCTCAGATAGTCAAAATGATAGTTCGTTCCAAAGTTGTGGCAATTACTCCCTGTGCTTCCTTTGACTCAGGATCTATTTTTAGGTGGTTGCACCTCTGAATGCATGCCGGGCAGTCACAAAAAATAAGCTCAATTTTGCTTCAGCTCTCCCAATTGCTTTTTCCCTGGCCCCTGCTACCCCTCCAGTAACTGGAACAATGAGTGGAGCAGCAGCAAGGGCAGGAAGTAAGGAACCGGTCACTGGTGAAGCTGAAACAATATCCTAGGGGATGACCCATTCATTTGGAACTTTGGGTTTGGTTGTGGGGGGCCGGAGGGGACCTAGGGTGAAAGCAACAAAAGGAAAGAATGGAGACAGCTAGCAAAACCAGAAATGGAGGTCAGGTGCAGGACCAGGGCAGCGAGAACACGGGCAGCGAGAACACGGGCAGCGAGAACACGG